TCTGCTGCCACCCTCAGGCCAATCAATAAATAGCAGGACTATCAGCTCTCTGCTGCCACCCTCAGGCCAATCAATAAATAGCAGGACTATCAGCTCTCTGCTGCCACCCTCAGGCCAATCAATAAATAGCAGGACTATCAGCTCTCTTCTGCCACCCTCAGGCCAATCAATAAATAGCAGGACTATCAGCTCTCTTCTGCCACCCTCAGGCCAATCAATAAATAGCAGGACTATCAGCTCTCTTCTGCCACCTTCAGGCCAATCAGTGAATAGCAGCACAATCAGCTCTCTGCTGCCACCCTCAGGCCAATCAATAAATAGCAGGCCTGCCAGCTCTCTGCTGCCACCCTCAGGCCAATCAGTGAATAGCAGGACTATCAGCTCTCTGCTGCCACCCTCAGGCCAATCAATAAATAGCAGGCCTGCCAGCTCTCTGCTGCCAATCAGTGAATAGCAGGACTTGAAGCTCTCTGCTGTCACCCTCAGGCCAATCAGTGAATAGCAGGACTATAAGCTCTCGGCTGCCACCCTCAGGCCAATCAGTGAATAGCAGGACTGCCAGCTCTCCTGCTGCCTCCTTCAGGCCAATCAATAAATAGCAGGAGTGTCAGCTCTCTGCTGCCCCCCTCAGGCCAATCAATGAATAACAGGCCCGCTCTCTGCTGCCACCATCAGGTCAAAAGATGAATAGCAGGCCCGGTCTCTGCTGCCACCCTCAGGTCAAAAGATAAAATAGCAGGCCTGCTCTCTGCTGCCACCCTCAGGTCAAAAGATGAAATAGCAGGCCTGCTCTCTGCTGCCACCCTCAGGTAAAAGGGTGAATATCTTTTCATATAGCACTTTTCATGCTGGTAATCTCTGTGGAGGGTATAATCAGCCATGGATGTGAAGACGTTTCAGTTGTTATTTAATACACAGCTCTTCTAAGGTTATTGAGAGACGGCGGTATTCCATTCGCCCACTCTCAATATTCTACTTATTATACACGTTTGTTCTGTTTTCTGTTTTTTGTTTTTTTTCTATATTGTGCTCCTTTTTTTCTGTTTGTAGAAGAAAGCAGAAAATATTGATTTACTCTCCGGAAATCGTCATATTGGGATACTTGCGCCCTCTTTCATGCTCTTCACTTATTCTATACGTCTTACATAGACCAGTAAGAGGCTGAAATGTACACTATGTACACTGGGTTCTATCTAGAAGGTTCTATAAGGCGATACTAAGGTCGTTCTGAATACTTGTACACTATGTACACTGGGTTCTATCTAGAAGGTTCTATAAGGCGATACTAAGGTCGTTCTGAATACTTGTACACTATGTACACTGGGTTCTATCTAGAAGGTTCTATAAGGCGATACTAAGGTCGTTCTGTATACTTGTACACTATGTACACTGGGTTCCAACTAGAAGGTTCTATAAGGCGATACTAAGGTCGTTCTGTATACTTGTACACTATGTACACTGGGTTCTATCTAGAAGGTTCTATAAGGCGATACTAAGGTCGTTCTGTATACTCGTACACTATGTACACTGGGTTCTATCTAGAAGGTTCTATAAGGCGATACTAAGGTAGTTCTGTATACTCGTACACTATGTACACTGGGTTCTATCTAGAAGGTTCTATAAGGCGATACTAAGGTCGTTCTGTATACTCGTACACTATGTACACTGGGTTCTATCTAGAAGGTTCTATAAGGCGATACTAAGGTCGTTCTGTATACTCGTACACTATGTACACTGGGTTCTAACTAGAAGGTTCTATAAGGCGATACTAAGGTCGTTCTGTATACGCGTACACTATGTACACTGGGTTCTATCTAGAAGGTTCTATAAGGCGATACTAAGGTCGTTCTGTATACTCGTACACTATGTACACTGGGTTCTATCTAGAAGGTTCTATAAGGCGATACTAAGGTCGCTCTGTATACTCACAACAAGTACACTGCCCCATCTAGGAAGCTGTCTCTATAAGGCTTATTACTATGTGTCGTCAAAATACTCTCGTACACTATGTACACTGGGTTCTATCTAGAAGGTTCTATAAGGCGATACTAAGGTCGTTCTGTATACTCGTACACTATGTACACTGGGTTCTATCTAGAAGGTTCTATAAGGCGATACTAAGGTCGTTCTGAATACTCGTACACTATGTACACTGGGTTCTATATAGAAGGTTCTATAAGGCGATACTAAGGTCGTTCTGTATACTCGTACACTATGTACACTGGGTTCTATCTAGAAGGTTCTATAAGGCGATACTAAGGTCGTTCTGTATACTCGTACACTATGTACACTGGGTTCTATCTAGAAGGTTCTATAAGGCGATACTAAGGTCGTTCTGTATACTCGTACACTATGTACACTGGGTTCTATCTAGAAGGTTCTATAAGGCGATACTAAGGTCGTTCTGTATACTCGTACACTGTACACTGGGTTCTATCTAGAAGGTTCTATAAGGCGATACTAAGGTCGTTCTGTATACTCGTACACTATGTACACTGTGTTTACTCTAGAAGGTTCTATAAGGCGATACTAAGGTCGTTCTGTATACTCGTACACTATGTACACTGTGTTCTATCTAGAAGGTTCTATAAGGCGATACTAAGGTCGTTCTGTATACTTGTACACTGTGTTCTATCTAGAAGGTCCTATAAGGCGATACTAAGGTCGTTCTGTATACTTGTACACTATGTACACTGTGTTCTATCTAGAAGGTTCTATAAGGCGATACTAAGGTCGTCCTGTATACTTGTACACTATGTACACTGTGTTTAATCTAGAAGGTTCTATAAGGCGATACTAAGGTCGTCCTGTATACTTGTACACTATGTACACTGGGTTCTATCTAGAAGGTTCTATAAGGCGATACTAAGGTCTTTCTGTATACTTGTACACTATGTACACTGGGTTCTAACTAGAAGGTTCTTTAAGGCGATACTAAGGTTGTTCTGTATACTCGTACACATTGTTCACTGGGTTCTAACTAGAAGGTTCTATAAGGCGATACTAAGGTCGTTCTGTATACTTGTACACTATGTACACTGGGTTCTAACTAGAAGGTTCTATATACATACTAAGGTCGTTTGTATACTTGTACACACTATGTACACTGTCTCTATCTAGAAGGTTCTATAAGGCTTATTGCTGTCGTTTGCATACTTGTACACTATGTACACTGGGTTCTATCTAGAAGGTTCTATAAGGCTTATTACTTCAAGGTCGTTCTGTATACTTGTACACTATGTACACTGGGTTCCAACTAGAAGGTTCTATAAGGCTTATACTAAGGTCAAATTCTGTATACTTGTACACTATGTACACTGGGTTCTATCTAGAAGGTTCTATAAGGCGATACTAAGGTCGTTCTGAATACTTGTACACTATGTACACTGGGTTCTATCTAGAAGGTTCTATAAGGCGATACTAAGGTCGTTCTGAATACTTGTACACTATGTACACTGGGTTCTATCTAGAAGGTTCTATAAGGCGATACTAAGGTCGTTCTGTATACTTGTACACTATGTACACTGGGTTCCAACTAGAAGGTTCTATAAGGCGATACTAAGGTCGTTCTGTATACTTGTACACTATGTACACTGGGTTCTATCTAGAAGGTTCTATAAGGCGATACTAAGGTCGTTCTGTATACTCGTACACTATGTACACTGGGTTCTATCTAGAAGGTTCTATAAGGCGATACTAAGGTAGTTCTGTATACTCGTACACTATGTACACTGGGTTCTATCTAGAAGGTTCTATAAGGCGATACTAAGGTCGTTCTGTATACTCGTACACTATGTACACTGGGTTCTATCTAGAAGGTTCTATAAGGCGATACTAAGGTCGTTCTGTATACTCGTACACTATGTACACTGGGTTCT